AAAAAAAAAAAAAAGTCAATCACTGTTCGCTGCTAATATTTTTTACTCAAAATCCAATTCGAATTTAACTTAATTTCACTATCCTCAATATTATCGATTTAATTAAATAATATCAATCAATTACATATACATAAACACACTAAATAAATAAATTATAAAATAGGTTGTCTTGCATTACATATACACACCAAATAATATATAACATTTGGCAGCCGAGAGATGTTCAACAAATGGCAGGCCCAGCGTTGGTGGGCAGACAATTCCGAGAAGGTGATGGAACTCTACAATGTCCAGAGGCTGAACCCAAACGCTTTCCCGCCGAGATCCGAAGACGGTTCCGAATGCAGCCCGGTGACTCCCCCACTGGCCCGGGAGCATCCAATCGGGTATTCCTCCTCCGACATTTCGGATATACAGTCCACGCACTCAGGGACAGGGACGTCAGAGGCCAGCTCGTCCAGGGATTTGGAGACTAATCAGTGGGTCGAGGAAGACCAACCCGGCGTCTATATTACCATTACCTCTCTGTCCGATGGCTCAAGGGAAATCAAGCGTGTTAGGTTCAGGTCAGATTTTTTTTTTTAAAAAAAAAATTACTACTAAAAAACAAAAATGAAATTATTTCATATCCAGTTATTACAATGCACACAATGCACACAGAGAAACACAATGCACCATGTTATTACTGTTTTGTGCTTGAGAAGCTAATAACTTCAACTGATAATCAACTGTTTTTTTCAGCCGGGAGAAGTTCGGAGAGTTACATGCTCGACTGTGGTGGGAAGAGAATCGAGCAAGAGTAAAGAAACAATATTTGTGAACGTACGAGCATTTGATCCAGCAGACCAAACCAAGCAAATACACAAGTGGTGCAGCCAGAAGAAAGAAATCATTTTGGGTTTCCAATTTTTTTTTTTCCTTGGGATACTTGTATTCGTGAAAATTGTGGCATGTTATGGAGATTATGAATATAAGAGTATTTTGATCTTGCAATGTAAAACAACTTTTTTTTAAACGAAACGGTAGATATTATAACTCAAAGAGAATGTACGAACCACGGGGGCTAAAAGAAGCCTCATACAACCAACTCGAGGAAGGACAAAGAGAAGCACTGACAATAGTGCTCTAAACAAAAGCTCAAAAGGATATTAAACATTTGGCTACCGACAAAGACAAGGTAACTGGGCCGGTGCTTGATTAATCCCCAGCCAACCTTGATTAATCCCCAGCCAACCAAACAACACAAAAGAGGTAATGACCACTGATCTAGGACCCTAGCCAAAACCACGAGAGAAATCAAACAAACTGAAGCCAAACAAACTAAAAAACTACCCTAACAACACTAAGCAGGAAAACAAAACCACCAGAAAAGAAGAAACGAACAGCACACCAACAAAAATAAAAATCTTGCAAGCTCCATCCAGTCAATACAAGCAACCAAAACAACTGTTTTTCCAAATCTATTGATATTTTGGAAGAGAATTTGGTTTCTTGATTTCCAAATCGCCCAAAGGATGCAAGTAGTTAGCTGAAGTCTATCTTCAAAGATAGGGGACTTCTTAATTGAGCATAGTTTTGACCACAAAGCCATGAAATTGCAAGTGTCAAGTTCCAAACCATCCCAACTCAGGGAAGATGACTTCCAGATAAGTTTGGCTCTTGGGCAGTTAAAGAAGACACGTGTTAGATCTACTTTGGAATTAAATATGTGTAATTTATACACTGATTCATTATATTGTTTAGTCAAATTAAGTGATCAAATTATTGTGTGTAATAATATTGGTTGGTATCGTCCGACAAACCTAAGTGTTTTCTAGAAGATTTTTTGTTAAGTAAAACAAAGTAAATTAAAGGGAAGTTTTCTATTTATTTACTTGTGAATTATTTAAGTTCCCAATATTTATTATTAATAATATATTGTATATATTTATTATAATATGTATTATAGAACACTAATCCTTTAGGAGAAGGATTACATAATATATATCTTATATATTTACATACCATATATGGGTTTAGTCGATGCTACCCTTACGGGTACTACCCGTTTTTACTGTTTTCCAATCAGCTCAAGACACGTGGACTGTATTACTTTTCTGCTTTCTGTTTTTTATTTTCGTCCAACCTTTTTGCTGAGTGCTTTTTTGCTTTTTATTTTTATTACTTCAACCTACCATGGTTAAACTTTAATTAAAAAGCATGTTACCATAGTTACTTTTTGAAATAAAAAATAGACACCCAGTTGTAAAATTCAGATTTAAGAACACAGATCTACAAAAAAACACATATCGGCTTCAGATTCACCCGCTTCAAATCGCCCGTTAGTTACCGAAATTGCAGCAGTAATTTGTCAATCGCTCGTTGTTCAAATCGCCGTGTTCACAGGTACGGAAGTCGACACCCGAATTGGGTTAATCTTCGACACCCGACTTTATTATTTAGAGTATTGTGAGTTGTTGCTTTAAGTTCATCCCTCCCTCTTTGTTATTTGATTTGTAATTTTAGTTATGTGATTTTTACAATTAGGGTTTGGACTCTTTGTTTAATTGATTTGTAATTTTAGTTATGTGATTTTTGCAATTAGGGTTTGGACTCTTTGTTTAATTGATTTGTAATTACGGTTTGGACTTTGGAGCTTAAAATGAAGTTTCTTTTTTTATTTTTTTTTTTTGGTTCTTTGCACAGTGAGGTGGATTTTTGTTGCTTTGAGATTTAATGAGATTGTGTGTTAATAGTAGTGATATAAAGTCCCTGCTCATGATAACTTCAATTCTTTTCTACCTCTCCAATTTTTTTTTTGTTTTGTACTAGTTTTACTTTGACCTTCCCAGAAGATTAAATTCGGAGTTCCTTAAAATGATAAGCTTTCTTTTCTGAAAAGTTAGGACCCGAAAGAGTCTTGCAGGGAAGGGAAAACTCATTTCCATTTCCAAGGTTATGACATTGGTGGAAATTAGAAACATGTGATACAGATTTAAATCAACTAATGAAGGTTTTGATTTAGTATTACTTGAATTTTGTTAAGCTTTGGTTTTTAGTCCAATGTTCAACTGGTCAGTACAGTCTTGTTTTTTATCTGTGAGTGTGTGTAGTTAGTAAATTATTGTGCTTGTTTATTAGTTATGTGTTTATCAATTATGTTTAACAGTTATGTGTTGAATCATCTTGATGAAGCTGTCCAATTTTGGGTTTGGGTTTGAGTGGTCGCTTGAATAATAACATTTCATTTTTTTATTTTTTTTGAAGGTTTGGAAATGTCGCAGACTTCAACTGCTAAGAAATTTAGAGGACCAGGACCAAGTAGATTGAAATATGAAGAAAAAATATGTAATCAATGTGGAATCAACCTTGCAATTAAGATTGTTGGCCCCCAAAGTGCAAATTTTCAGAAACTATATTATTTTGTGATAGACATAGATTTGTTGGTTGGGCAAATCTAATAAATGAAGACGACGTAAGCATCAGAGAAGAAGTTAGCACATGAAAGCTACAAAGATGTGAAAAAAAAAAAAAAAGAACTTGATAAGATTTTTGATTTATTACTTGTGTTGTTTCTAGTTGTAATTGTAATGCTTGTTATTATTTTAATGAAGTGAAAGGTTGGTTATTTTTATTTATTGGACATGAATGATTTTCTATGGAGGAATGAAGTATGGTTTCATAGTCTGAGGTTTATTTAGGTTGGCTTATGTTAAATTCACATATTGATTGTCATAGCTTATGTTAAATTCACATATTGATTGTCAGTTTAGAGTTTTGGCTTGTGCAATTTGAGTAAAAACTGGTTGCAAAAACTGTCTTACCGAAATTACTGCTAGTTATGATGTACAATTCTCAATTGTTACGAAAAAAAAAAGAAAAAAAAAAGAAAAAAAAAACTTACTATGTCCCAAATGTTAGACCAGTCTTTAATTATTGGTCCCAAATGTGACTGTTCTACTTGTGCAATTCACATTCTTGAGAAACTTACTACTACAATTCAACCAATTTTAAAAAATAATCCACAAGAACAATACACAAAATAAATGTCTATAACAACAATATTACACCATTATAAAGAGTCAATCTAAAAAATATGAGAATGTGCATTTGCTAACTTCGAATCACCATTATCTTCAATTATTGGAGGGTCTCTGCATAAAAAAATAGATTAGAATAAGTATAATAAATTAATAAATCTTAATTTACAAAGCATTACATTTGATGTACCTGTGATGAAAATGGGTCAAGTTGATAACCAAATAGATTGAATGGGGCACCTAAATTGATGTTTGTATTTCCTCCCTACACATTTTATAAATAAAAAAGTATTAACATTCTCATAGAAATAAATAATAAAAGCATCATTTACCCTTTGATTTATGTTAGGCAGATAATGTGGAACAATATTTGCCTCTTCCGTGTTGTCATCATTTTGAGAAGATTGAGCCGGGCCACCTAAATTGATGTTTGTATTTCCTCCCTAGATATTAAAATAAAACAAATAAAAATATATTAATTTTATTAATATTCTTGTAGAAAAAAAATCGTAAAAGCATCATTTACCCATTGATTTATGTTAGGCCAAAACATTGAAGATTGAGATGGATAATATGGAACATTATTTGCTTCTTCCGGGTTGACATCATTTTGAGAAGATTGAGTCGGGCCACCTAAATTGATGTTTGTATTTCCTCCCTACACATTAAAATTTAAAATAAATAAAAAAGTATTAATTTTATTGACATTCTTGTAAAAAAAATCATAATAGCATCATTACCATTTGAGTCTTCTTCCTTGACTTGCTTGAATTTCCCACCTTTTCTTTGCCCCTTTTTGTTTTCTTGCTCTTGTCCCAATGACGTGTTATTTGAGCATTTGTAACTCCCCTTGTCTTGGCCGAAGGTGGATTGCGGACACGGACACTATTCTCATCAACCAATTCATCACATGAATCATCCATGTCCAAATTCTTCAAAAGACAAGTTATTTCTTCACTTGCCTTTTCAAGAATTTCATTTAACCTACTTCTTGTCTCCTTGTGAGATTTGCTCAAATGCACCAAATCATATGAACTCCTCATTGCATGATTGACAAATGTCAATTGAGAAACATCACTAGTTCCATGAGGAGTACATGTTCTTTCAAATTCACTACAAACCCTTTGTTCGGCTTTTCTCGACCACCGACTCATTATATATGGCTCGGGCAACGAAATGATATTCATAGAAATGAAAACTTTTAGTGCATGTCTACATAGTATTCCCATTGTTTCAAACAAATGACACGAACACTTCACTTCAATATCATACTTCTTAAAGAACACTTGCCTAACCTTTGAGTTGTCGTTATGTGACCGCATCTTAAATCCAAGCCAACCATTACCAAAATCATTCTGATCAATAAGGACAACATTCAAAGACTCCACAAATTCCCGCTCGAACAACTTATAGATGGAGAAAGTATATACTTCAGCCGCATGCGGCAACAAGGGATTATTTTTAACAATTTGACCCGGCCTCCCATGGCTACAATGGGCATCATCATCTTTCTCAACCGACCTCCATTTATCTTGAACTTTTTCATAGTTCAAAACAAACTGATGCAAAGTAAGAGCCTTATTGCCCATGTCTTTCAAAACTCGATTTGTAACCTCACTTCTTGAAGTGGCTAGAAGACCTGCACAAAATTTGTCATTACTAAACGCTGTAGCCCATCCCTTTCTCAGTTTATACATCACCTTGAACCATCGGTCATCACCAAGGTTGTGCTGATCAATCATCACTTTCCATGTAGCCTCAAACTCATCTTCAGAATCACAAAATGTCATGCATTTATGCCACAATTTCTTAAACTCTGAATTACCATTCAAATTTCCAAAATGTGACGGAGCATTTTGATTGATATGCCACTGACATAAGCGATGATGCAAATGAGTGAACACTTTATCAATAGCATTCATCATAGCTTGGCATTGATCATCTGTAATATCTTAACATATAAAAATGAATTGATAGATGATGTTTGGTTTGACTTTATAAAACAGAACGTTGATGCATACTTGGGGTGAATACCGCCACGTAAACAAGATAATAACACTAGAATTTTGTAAGTTGTATCAACTGATAGCACATCACCAAAAAAATCATAATCAACTGCAGATCTATGATCCCTGAAGAAAAAATTCATGATCCGATTATCATCATCCAATTGAACATTCCAGAAAAATTGATTTTCCCTATTAGCCTTGTTTATAAAATATTGAAGCAAAGAAGCAGCATCTCCATCTTCAACTTTTGTATGCCGTTTCATACGACCAAGATGATCATATGCATCTTTTCTAGTAAAACCCAAGTTTTGTGCACCATGAGCCTCATTTTCCATAAAAGAAATAGCATTAGTAACACTAATCCCCGCATTCACCATAGCTTCTAGAGTTGATTTTTTGGCATGTGAGAGATTACGTGATGATCTTAATAAATGAGTTTGATCAGGTTGAATCATATCATGATTGTGTTCCACGTAAAACCTGCTCACTTTCCATTCCCCTCCTCTCTCCCTCGCAACTCTAAGTCTTGCTTTGCATTTTGTTCTAGTTATTGATTTCAGATACTCTGGAATAATATTCTTAGAACGTTTTTCATCTTTAACTCCTTCACAAGAACATTCAAATTCTTTCATTTGCAGTTCTTTAGTGCCCGAAAAGTATCGTTGATCACCTTTTCTAACACTAAAACCTTTGGCATGTGCATATTGACAGTAAAGTAAATATGCTTCTTCAATGTTATTTACTTTCATGCCATCTGATAGTCTATTTTCTAAATACTCTACTATCGATTCAAAAGACTGAACCTCAGGATTTGGTGTCGAAGAACACCCAAAAACTTGTTCTTGAAACTCTTCACCATTACCCTCGACATCTTCATATTGCTCCGCAAAATAATGCTCCATTAGTTCAGTAATACCTACATACAACAAATAAGATTTTGAAATCACACACTCAGCTCAATAAGATTCCCAACAAAAAAACCATCTAAGTAAGTAAGCATGTCCCACCAAGATTTCTTCTTTACAGGTAGTTCTATAATTTCAGTTATCCTCTGTACGATTTGTTATCATTAGAAAAGCCTAAAAGTTAGGACTAGAAATTTTGATATTTCTTTTACATAGCATATGTATATGAAAATCAGTAAAATCTTTAAGATTATCAAAGAATTATGTTGATACTTAATAGCAGCTGCATTGGATCAATGAGTCATAATACTTGTTACCCAGAGCATATTTATTTTGAATAAATTAGTGACCAAAATTTATTCTACACATTTCTTTGAAATATAAAAATTAATGAAAGCTTTATTCATTTATCATAAAAGCTTTATTCATTTAGATTCTGAGACTCAATCTATATGAGTTATATGAAGTTCTTCTACCATGACTAAGTAAGTAAGCATTCAATATAATTATCAAACTTCTGAACTCATTTATTAAATTTTAAATTAGGCTTTAACAATGTATTTAGATTTAGACCTAAGTAGAAGTATATCCGTAATGTGTATAATTCTCTTCCCCAAAACCCATGAGTTGATATCTGTAATGTGTATCCGTAATGTGTATCCGTAATGTGTATTTAGATTTAGAACTAAGTAGAACTAAGTAGATTTAGATTTAGCGATTAGAAAAAATCCCTAATACTGTACACGGTTCATTTTTTTCTGTAGAACAAAAAAAAAAAAAAAAAATGGAGAAGAACACGCAGCAATTTATTTACCTGTGGTTCGAGAATTTTGGAGAAGAACTTCAACCCACCACGGTAAGTATTCAAATTTCAGATCTGGGACCGGGACTGGGACCAATGTGTATTGCTTTTGCTTTTAATTAGTTTTTATTTTTAATTAAAGTTTAACCATGGTAGGTTAAAGTAATAAAAATAAAAAGCAAAAAAGCACTCAGCGAAAAATGTTGGACGAAAATAAAAAACAGAAAGCAGAAAAGTAATACAGCCCACGTGTCTTGAGCTGATTGGAAAACAGTAAAAACGGGTAGTACCCGTAAGGGTAGCATCGACTAAGCTCCATATATGCCACATGCTTTAATGAGTTTGATTTTATTCTATAATTAGTTTTCTCTCTCTTGTAGGACAAAGAATAAGTGACAATGACTATGAAGGATGGACAATTCGTGCGTAAGGAAATCTGGACGTTCTAAAGATGATCTAATGAGGATTTGGACAGATACACCACAAGATCTTTGAAGATTTGGAAGATCGGCTATTTTAGGAAAGTCGTGTTCTTACACCAGACTGGGCACACAAGATTTCCATTAGAAGCTCAATTATGAAGATTCCCAAATCACATACACGAATTCTACATCAAGAAAACTTTTTATTAATGAAGGATTTCGTCCAAATCAGAAAGGAAATAATTGAGATGGAAATTGACTCCTAAAAGGAAAAGAGAAACTTGTCAAGACGTCTTACCTTAAGGAGATTGTATATAAGCCTACTCAAATAATCAATTAAAGACAAGAAAGCTGCTACAATAATTGAGTTCTTCATTCATCATCTTCAATTGAGTGTTTGAGAGTTTTTTATTCTTTTTATTTTGTTCGTCATAGCACTTCAACGTTCTTACATTGTTGACGAATTGAGTTTTTTTAGTTTCTTTTTCTTTTTACAAACACTTTTTGAGTGCTTAGGGATTAAGTATTGGTTTTGCTCGAAGGATTCGAGTGTGTAAAGTCCACGGGACGAGGCAGAGAAGTAATTGATAGGATCGGGTATAGTGTTGGCTAGACTAGGAGGGAGTCCAAGTTGAGTACGTCCAAGTTGTATTTTTTGGGACAAAAAATCGATTTATCAATGAAAGAGCTCTGAGGGTTAGTGGGACGCTCCCTGAAGACATATAATTTTTTATATCTCTTCCGCTTTTACATTAATTTTTCTGTGTTGCAACACAATTTCGTAATGCAAAATTTGTGTGTTCTAACACAGTCTGCGTGCTCTATACTCCCCCACCCTCATTTTAATTGGCACCAGAGCAACGTTCTTGTTCTAATCTTAGGATAAAGATCCTTGAGTTTTTGGGTTGGACACCATATTTCACGACGACATGTCAGTTTCATGCCCTTCATACCTCAATGGATCAAACTAAGGATATTTGAAGTCCACGATGACAAGTTTTCTATGGTCCTTGGGTAAAGGGACTTGGCAAATTATCGAGACTGGTCGGTCAACACTTTTGATGGAAAAATCACCCTAAAAAAGAATGAAGGATCCTCGTCTTTTGATGTTGGTCCTCGCGTTCTTGTTGAAAAAATCGAGAGATATTTGGTATGATACGGATAAGCAAGCTGAGGAAGCATATTTTTGTGCTCTTTATGCAATAATGGCTACCGGTTGACCCAACTCGTCACAAGATGATCATCCAGTGCACCACAACACGTGATGCATGGAAAATTCTCGAGAGGCAATTTGAAGGTACCAACGTCGTGAAGTCATCCAAGCTACAAAGGATCATCACGGAACTCGATGAAATCAAGATGAGAGAAGACGAGACTATAGATATGTACCAAAAGGTTCTCATTAGCTTTTTGGTAAGGTTCTCATTAGCTTTTATACAGCCTCTCATGAGCCATTTGATGCTGATTCAGGTATGTGTTCTTTACACGTATAATTCTCATAGTGATTCTGATGATTCTTGAGATGGTTCTGTTGAAATAGACATGGAAACAGATAAGCTTGCATTACAGACGTGCGTCAAATCTGGAAAAATGGTAAAAAGCTACAAGCTCAAGTCGAGGTGTTCCAACATCGTTTTGCAGAGCATGAGAAAGAGATTGCCTACTTAAAGGAAGAACTTTAAAAAGCTGGCGTGATGAGTGGCGAACTGAATGATAAACTGACCAGATCTTATGTTCCTACTAGCAAGAATAAACATAAGCTGGGCGAATTTGTTTCCAAAATCACGATGTTAGAGCACGAACAGAAATTGTCCAAGCAGATATGTGATGAAAAATATTTTGTCATTAAGTCTCTACGTAGTGAAGTGTTTGCCTTGCATAGAACTATATGTGAAATGGATTATGATATTGCGGCCCTCAAATGTTAACTTGAACGGGTTATGGAAGAACATGTGAGCCTCCAAAGTCATTACATTGAAATTGAAAAGAACTTGAGCAAGAATGAATAGGTGGTCAAGATGATCAATAAGCCTAAAGTTCCTTACTCGGATGTTCAAGACCATAGCAAAAGGTTGAAAGGTAAAGGTGTCGGAAACCAATCTTCTAACCCAAAAGGTAAATCAAGTACTAGTTCACATGGTAAGTCCTTTCTAACTTTTGTGAAAGAAGGTTTCAACACTGACGATAAGGTTGATCAGGTTTCTGTGAAAGAACATCGTAAACGTTCTGTGAAAAAATTCATTCTTACTTGTCATTGTTGTGGTGTTCCTGGTCATATTCATCTTAGATGCTATAGGATGCTTAATTATTTGAATGCATGAATGATTAATGATAAAGCCCAGCTGGTGTTCCAATGAAAACACCAAAACTGAAGGTTGACGTAAAGAACCATAAGCAACAAAAAATTAGGGTTCTTAAAAAGAATCATACTTATCTTTCATCTCTGTTTGCTTCAAAATCCGCTTCTAATTATGATTGATGTTTGATGTTCTAGGCACATGACGGGTGTTAAATCAAATATGATTGATGTTATACTTGTGTCTAATGGTTCCGATTCTGTCAATTTTGGTAACTGTGCTTGTAATAAAGTTGTAGGAATTGGATATTTGAACATACATGGTCTTCCTAGACTTGATAATGTTTTGTTGGTTG